CGGCCCCGGGGGTGGGGAGGGCGGGGGAGCCGGCCCGGCGCGGGGGGACGCGGCCTTGTCGCTTGCGCAGGCAACCGGGTTTGCGGGGATGCTGGCGCTTGAATCGCGGGCTTTGTGTCAAAACGTGTAATAGTCGAATTTTTATAAAAGTGAAAAGGTCGTTTGTTTGGTTTTTTCCTTCTTAATTCTACGAGTTGTGTGTAAAGGCTGGCCGTGCTGCTCTTCACATAGGAACAACAGTAGTCTTGGTATAGTTTATTAATGGTCTTTCTGCCCATTTATTATGTTAACTTGTGTTTTGAGAAAATATATAGCAGCGTTACAAACCTAGCTTTAAATATTCAATATGTGGAATTCATTTGTCTAGAAGATACTAAAACCCTTCATCAGTGATGAACTGCTTTCTCTGGTGTGTCTCAGCCTGCCATAAATCAGCACTGGCTTTGGGCCCGTGATGGTGAGCTACATGTATTAACAGTCTTGGGTCTAAGCCTATGTTCCCTGCCAAAAATACTGTATTTGTGTCATTTTTCAATGCAAATTAGTAGTAGGTGCAAATTCACTTTATGTTGCTTCACACTTTTAACTTTGCAGTAGAAAATCTTAAATAAACACAGCTTTTTCAACACTGGAATGTTGATCAGAAAAATATTCATATACTAATGTAAACAGTCCCTTTCAAGGGACTAACCACGACTACGAAGGTTTTACTGCATGAGTCCATCCCTGTCTCCCTTGGGGTTAGAACAGTGCTTCGTGTTAAGTAATTTAAAGAGGCATGAAGGTCTGTTTGTGTTCACTGTTTGTAAAATACTCTTTTGCTTGTAACTTACTAGGGACCAATTGTTTGAATTGTGGGGCTACATAAACACAAAATATTATTGAAATACTTGAATGTGAAACACTCTAGTTTGAAGAAAAAATATACATGAGAAGATGACATATGATAGAGCTATTTTTGCAGGGTCCGAAGTGGTTAGGGGTCCCTTTGGGCTGCTGCTACTTTATTTTTGGTGTAGGAAATGTGAAACTAATGATCAAAGTTGGTGCACAGATCAAGACTTCGAAATGTAACTCCTGATAGGAATCTGTTCTTCCAAAGATAAATATCTTTCATTGTCACTTAACTTTATAAACTGTATTCTCATTGACTGACAATTTAAGCCTGTATTTTCCGTTGGACAGGTGTACTAAAGTATATGGTTCAGGGCAATAAAAAAATAAGTTTGATCTGTGACTGAAAAAATGAGAGAACTGCTACTTTATGGCATTCTATAAAGATATCATAAAATATCTATTTGACCGATATGAAAAAATTGAGGACTTGCATTTCAAGATGCTGTTGATTTTTCTGAAATAATCCCTCTGGATTTTAAGCACTCTTAACTTTTAGAGTTTCTGGAGAGGCTAGGAGAAAGAAAGATGATAAGGGGGAAAATATTACAATTATCAGTTTTCCAGGCCTTTCTCTCTTTTGTTTTTAAGCGTAGATTACTGTAACTAAAGTGAATATATACAGAAGGAAGAAATAATACACTTGCTGTAGAAGTGCTTTCTTTTTAAAGGCATTTCTAAAACATCTAGCTTATAATTTAGAGTAGTTCAATATATCTGTTAATGTAGTCATTCCTAAAAAAAAACCCAACCCAACCGAACAAACAAAAAAATCCCCAATTATGCCAAGTGAACAAGTGGGAAATTTGTATAGAAAATGCTCTAAGAATAAGAATACTGCAACTGGTATGTTAGATGTGCAGTGGCAGTATTAAAGTAATATGAGCAAAATACTAATTATGGGTTTTGATAGGCCTGTTACAAATGCTATGATTTCTAAATTCTGTTTTTCTTATAATTAAAAAGTTTTAAATGAAATAATGTTTCTGGCAACAACATGGGATAACTTTCTAATATCTGATTTTTTTCCACTTTTGTTTACAGACATCTTTAAGACTTAAAAATACTTGTTGCTGATTAAAATAATTGTGGTTAAACATCAACAGATTTCATCACATTTTCCTAAAGGAGTGGTTATATACTTTTAAAAATAGATTGCTGCTGTAGTCCTTTAAATGTGTACATTCTTTATGAACTCATGCATATTGTCACTGAATTTTAGTTCATTTACAGTCATATCTTCTTATAAATTTTTTTAAACTTTTTGTCACCTTCTCTTTGTGAGAACTAAACTGTTCTGTATGAGAAGCTATATTTATATTCTTCTGGTCAGCATATTGTTTTTATCTGTTCAGAAAATGGTTTCAGGCTCAAAAATATGGTAATTAAAAATGGTTTCATTCTTTCAATGCTCTGTGCCTGAACTGAAGCAATGAACATAAACAAAGTATATGAAATAAATGAGAGAGACAGTCTTGTGAAACGATTCTTCTGTGGGTTGACAAACACTTTCAGTTTTCAGTGAAGGTGCATGTTGTCTCTTTTGACTAGTTCTACCCATCTTTGGAGATTGACAACTACCTTTTATGTTCAGGGTCCCTTCACTTTCTGTTGACTTCATGTGAAACTGCAGACACTCAGTGTGATCAAAGACAAACGTGGGAGGCTTCTAGTATCAGTCCATTCACTTTCTACTGCTCTGATTCTCCAAGTGCAGACATCTCTTAATTCACATTGACTTGAGCAGCCCTCAAATAACTGAAGTGCTTGGTTTGAGTCTTATACTAATCATCCTCAAAGAAGAATGCTGTATGTGAAGAAAGATAACTTGTCTCAGAAGTCTCTGCCAAGTATCTCTAGATGGAGTGGTTTCTATTGCAGCTGTTCCATATGTTTCTTTTTCTATATTACATTACATTAAGCTCCTCTTTAATGGAGTCTGTTGTTTGCCAGTGGGCACTCGATAACAAAGAATAATAAAAAAGTGTATATTAAATATGATTTTCAGTAATTTTTAAAGAATGAGAAAGCCCTCATCTTTAAAAATAAAGGCTGACATAAAATTACTACATTTACTTGGAATATAAGGAATGCCCTGTGTAGTTGATGCATAAAGAGAACATTTTCCAAGACAGCATCAATATTAATACTTTTTGATCTTAATTCCTTTATGTTAGCACTCTGATTCAGTTGGTATACATTTTGTACTCATGAAAAATATTTCATAATAGTATTCGGATCTTTAAAAAATGGTTGGGTTTCATTATAGGATTCTTTCGTGTCAAATCCTTTATCAAGTTTTATGTGTGTGTTTTGTTTTTGTTTTTCAGTGTAGTCTGTAAGTGACTTTACTGATCGAGAAGCTGAAATTATTTTTTGCCTGTGAAAGCTGGAAAATGTTCAAAAATCACTATCAGGTAAAACAGAAATAGTTTTATTTTTTACCTGTGTTCATTTCACCTCAGAGAGAACTCAATTGAAATGGCTTATTCTGGCGGGGGGCAAAAAATCCAGATAAGAAATGTTTTGGAATGTTTCATTATTTAGTATTTTTATAGAAATGTTATGAAATCTGTGGGTAGCTGCTGATGCTGTCAGGTCTCGAATGGACACCAATATGGTGTTACCAATGGCTTTTTGTCTGTCTTTACCCTTGTAGTCCAGGGAAGGCACACCATCTCCTCCCACCCAGTCATGGGAACAGGTCCAACTCTTAAGCTATAATCAGAAAACAGTGGCTAGTTTATTCTCTTGGTCCAGCACAGGGTTGTGACAACACTAATTGCATAATTTACAAACCTTATTATCCTTTGTACTGTTTCCTGGCCTTCCTTTTCACCACGCTTTGCCTCTCTTTCTGTGTACCAGTCCCCTTCTGAGGGAGCAAACAACCTCTAATTACTTTTTACCCATTGGTCCCAGATGTGCTACCTCTGTACCTGAAATTGGTATTTCTGATGCTGTTACCTAGACTATCTCAGCTTTATATGGTATTTCCGATACCATTGCCTCGGTGCTGGTGGCTTTGCAGGATTGTGCTCCCCAAAAGATGCCCCATATGCCCCTTCAATTGATTGTGGAGTTTGACAGTTTCTTGCTTGACTTCCCCTTGGCCACCCATGAGATCCAGTCATTCTCCATGGCACTAAATAACTTTTGTGAGCTTCTCAGATCAGGTATTTGTTCAGTATTTTCTCATGTCCTGTCCAGTACTTTTCCATGTCCTGTTGGGTTAGTTTAGCCTCAAATCAGGGCCTGCTCAAGGGCTGCTGTATTAACAAAATGTATTTGTAAATATGGGAGAAAAAGCCACTTCTTTGCTAAGATTTGCTACAAGTACATACAACCTGGCAGTTAAGAATCTTTTTTGACTTTCAAAGACCTTGATCCTGTAGTCCTTAAATATGTCAGATAACTTTCAAATTGATAGTGTGATTATTTTAAAATTTTTGTATCCATTATAAATTTAAAAAACAGTTTACAAGTGCAATTTATGGAATGCCCTTTTGAATCCCCTTAGAACTTTGTAAGTCTAGTCACTGAGGTTAGCCATGTGGCCGAAAGCTGCCAGGTGTGGGTGGGCAGAGGAAAATACCTAATTCATATACGGTGCAGAGTTGATGTTCTCTGAAAGAGTAATTTGAAGAGCATTTATTTTGCTGGCAAGACTGCTCACCCTTCTTGCTCATTCTGACTTGTGTACAATTGTTTGGGCAGCTGAGCATAAAGAGAATTGGGGAGTGCAGGCAACTAGGAATGAGAAGGGCGCGGCAGGGCTGTAGTGATTGATTAGGTCAACCATGCTGCTGAAAAAATGCTGACCGAACTATAGGCTGAGTAGATCAGATGTCACAAAAAATGTGACTCCAAATGGGAAAAATATTGAAGCAAATAATTCCCTAAGCAGAGATGATAAAGCCTACCTCCCCAAGAGCCTAATGTTAGATTCTTTGATGTCTAATAGGGCACGTGCTCTGTGTAAGCAGTTTTTAGCTGGCAGGGGCATTCACGGTCTTTTTCCAGTGTTCTCAGATGCCTCGTGCAGGCGGCAGCATGAGTACATCCCTTACCTTTTTATGGTGGTACTGGTAGGATCAGGTTTACTACAAGTTGTTGTAGTTCACTTAAGTTGACTTAGGAAAGATAGTAAATTTTTGTGAGTTTACCAGACTGTTTGGTCAAATCAGGCTGGAATTTGGTAACTAGTAGAAAAGTTAATGGGAAATGTCTTTTGACATACTCGCATATGTAGACAGAGCCAAATGTATTCACATATGTAGACAGATTGTGTAAACTTCATTTCCATAGGAAATCAGACTAAACCTCCAATTTACAACAGTTATTATATTTTTAGCAGTGTGTTTTAAAACTCACTTCACTAGCTGAGTTGTAGAAATAAACCACATCCAAGTATAAATTACTAATCTCCTGCATGTTTTTAGAATTCTTAAAATAATTTTGCCTTTTAGAGAATGACATTATAAATAAAATAATTTAGAATATTCCATGGTATTCCTTCAATTTTATCTTCTGATCTTCTGGTGAAGCCAAGTATTGACTATATGGTTGATAATATTATAATAGTCTAGAAGCTGTTAATAATATTCTGCTGTCTGACTGTCCAGTAATACTGAGTGTGGTAACAGCCTGGTGTGGGGAGGGATTGTTCTTATGTACTCATCTCGACCACTGATGATTCGGCACTGAACACTTGGTTGGATGATGTATCCCTAAACCATTTTGTCATAGGGTGGCCCATTTGTTGAAATATTCAGTGCTCAAGGCGAGAACCCAGGAGCAAAATGGAAGATTTTTGGCAATCCATCAGCTATATGGAAAGTAAGTTTTTAAAGAAACTTATAAAACCTAGAGTATGAAACAGAAAAATGTGAATGAAGCTTAAAATTAGAGGGTAATGAGGGCTTTGACCTGACAGTGGAGTTGTCACTTGCAGTTCTGTCATTATGACAGACTAAATGACTACTTAAATTAGTTCTTTATGCCTGCTTGCAGACTAGGTTGGTTGTAGCATAATATTACAGTTTAAATATTTAGAAAGTAATTTTGCTGTTCTGATAACTAGTGGATTGATTTGGGCCCCTTGGATCATGTGTCCTGTTTGTCAGCATTATTTGTCCATAAAACATGCAAGGGCATCTTTCTGTGGACTATATTATTACCATCGTATTTGAACTGCTGTCATACTTGCAGTGCTGTCTTCCGTTTGTTATTTAAAAAAAAAACGTAGTAGCTTTGCATGTTAGTGGCATGGTTGGCTGTGAAGAGAAGAATGCTATCAGGATACTTGTGTTTGTTTATTGTTCCTTTTTGTAGGAATATGATAAAGAAGTAAAAGGCTTTGTTTTCATACTTAAAGGAAGCAGTCAAATCAACAAAATGCAGCTACCAAAGGAAAACAGACAAACTTGTAAGTATCAAAGGATTAAATGTCTGTGATGTTGTTCTGATCATTAAATCAGTTTTACATTGGAATGTAAAACTTATGTTATTCTCCCTTACTTTGGCTGTGATTCAGCATTAGCAAACTGGTTTAGCTTAACTTTTTGGCAGGTCGGTTACAAATAAGTAAAAGGTTTAGAAATGCCATATTAAAGTAAGTGCTGTAGGGAGGAGCCTTGATACGCGTTCTCCTAGTGCTGCTAGGTTCGCTTCTGTACCTGATTCTGCTATAGACTGATGTCTGACAAATAACTTCTGACTCCATTCAGACTTACTAAAGTCAATTCTATTGGCATTACAGAGTGTGAAATAGGTTCCCATCCCCTTTCTGATTTTACTTTTTTAAAGTATTTTTACTTTTGTGTATCGAATAAGCACTAGCAGTTCAAGGAAGTTATGCCCAAGTTTCAGCTGTGTTTGTGTAATCAGCCTCTGATGGGTAGTATGGAGTGTTTCCCCAGGTGGTCTATTACTTGCACCAGAATAAACTAGAATCAAAGCAGTCTCTGTCTTGGGGCATACAGCAATCATCATAATTTATGCCTTAAACTCCACTCCGGGTATTGTACCTTATAGGGCTTGTAGTAATGAATTGAGATGGTTTAGAATTAACTGATTTGCTTTTGAAGAAAAACTGTGATGGGAATTTTAGTCAAATGAAACAGGAATCTTCTGGTGTATTTCTCAAGCAATGTATATAATTACAAATTAGTTTTTCTGAAAAAGCACAAAAAACAAATAAGAAATCATATAGGCTGGCCATGCCCTAAGTCCTTGAAGATTAATCTGTTTTTTATAAAAGAAATTTACTGTTATCTTCAGTATTGTAAATAGTAGTCTAATGTATCTTTTTGAGAAATCCAACTTTAATTTTTTTATTGCCAATGTTACAATAAACTATTACAGCCTAGAATGAGGATTGAGAATTAGTGTTGTAGGTTATCATTGTGAAGAACAGCTAGGTTTTAAATTTACTTTTGCTGTTGCTGCAATACTACAGTTAAAGTTCCATCTGTTACCATACTGTCTCTTCCTCTCTTGAGGTGTATATACCTCAAGTACTTCGTTTATGTCAAGTATACAATCTCCCAATTGTACTGTAATCTTTAGATACTTTTCCAAAATAAGTCATTATATATACGAATATAATTTGAAATTATGAGCTGTTATTTGACCCACAAAAGAAGGAAATTCTGGATTCATATTCTTTAGAAGAAGAGCTAATGTTGCTGTTGAGTCTTAAGTCAATGAAGAGCAGCCCATACCCTCCCTGATGAAATACATAAGAAAACAACATACAGTTCAATTCAGACAGTTTTGTACTCTCTGTTTTCCCTTGATAGGGAGGTACCTGAATCCAGAAAGTTTTCTTGTGTTTGTTCCCTCAGTTAAGCTCCTTTGCTGTTGTTCTTAAAATCGGAATCCTCCACTGAGCATTGTTGTCATGATCTGGGCTGCATTTTTACCCAAGTGCTTTTTGAAGTTGTTTAATAAGGTGTACATTGTCACAAACATGAGCACAAGTTTCATACGACAACAAGGTAGCCTTGGTAGGAAAGTATTACTTTAATGTATAGTTCCTCTGGGATATTTGGTGTCTACATGCTCTTGGAACACAATGTAGAATTGTAAAGCTTTTTCTCATGTTCATATGTTGTGTGAACCTTGGGAAATAGTGTTGCAGGAGCGTAGCTGTATGGTACCAAATTGAAATGCTTGATGGTGAAGTGTACATCTGCACAAACACAGCACATGTATTTATTTTTTTTTCTTGTTTCTAGTGGGACTGATCCAGCGGTTTCTGACACTTCAGATTTTTGTGCTGTCAGGACAAGACTTCTCCACTGAGTTACTGTAAGATGCATAAAATTTCCTTGAATGCTTAACGTAAAGTAAATGCCTGATTGCAGCTCTTAATTGTGGTGGCAGATTTTGCATTAAAGCGTGGTGACTTATCAAGTCAATAAGAAGTAATTAAGCTAAAAAGGTCATTATTTCTTGGATATTTTAAATGCTGGCACTCCTCTGAAGACAGGACAAACTCTAAAAATCATGAATGAAGATGGTGAAAAATCTGAAGAAATGAGACCTGAATTTGTCAAACACATGAAAATACTGGCTCGTGAGGGTTTCCTGAAAATTTGTAAGAGATTTTTAAATAACTATTCCAAAGCCCTTTGGTTCAGGGCATAAAGAAATACATAATCTAATAATTGGTGGAGAAAAAACCCAACCAAATAAATGGTAAAAAGCTAGAACAACGAATGGAGTGCTCAACTGGTGTGATTACGTCCATACTATGAGGAAAGAGAAGTACTGGAACAGGCTTTTTTCTCATTAGTTCAATGTAGAATGATTTAATAGAATTTTAAACTTGGGCAACTTGTCAGTCTTTGGACAACACTTCCGCCCTAGTGGTACCAGCTTTCTATAACCAGCACAACCCACTCAGCTTTGTAGCCAGTAGAACACCTAAGATTTGGATTAACAAAAGAAATATTATGGCATTAGAAACCTTGCAAGAAAAGATGGGTTGAATGATATGCAATTAAACTGAGTAGACAATGCCGAATTTTATTGTTGTTTGTCTTTCTGTAACTTTGTGTTCATATGTACCTGTATGTACATGCAGGTGTCAGCTTTTCTTAATTGCCTGGAGTCTCTTGGGACTGGATTAAGGGGGAACAACTCTTACAGGTTTAAGTCAGAGGACAAAATGAGATGCTCAGAAAATATCATTCCAGCTACACTGTAGTAGAGAAACAGTGTTCATTATAGTGACTAATCTATTTCATGAAATTATGATGGTGTGCTATTTTATGTTCCTGGGTAATTCTGTTATCTGCCATGCCTTTGTGTAAGTAGAGTCATCTTGGAATATTTTGTTACTTTAACAGAGAATATGCTAGTGTGAATTGAATCATAGTTATTCCTCTACTTATCCACTGTTCTTCAGTGGATTTATAACGATCCATGCAGGTATTTTAGTCTTGGTGGTTTGTGAGTTAGTGGGCACTTATAACCTACATCATGTTGGTAACATTATACATTCCTCTGTGGCGTGCTTAATTTCTAACATGATTTTATAGTCTGAACACTGAGAACATCTTCAAAGGATGAATTAACTTATTTAGCACAGATTGTCACCAGAGAACATTTTTGCTTCTCCATGGAGCGTGGAAATCTGAGAGAGAACACTGGACTCAAAATACTTGTTTTAAAGATATGTTTGCCTCTATGCATCAGGATCTTGGTGCAGAAAATACTAACATTTTACTAATTTAAAGTGAGAAACTGTTGGTAGGGAAGCTGGTAATTTTTGAATAAGCCAGAAAGCTGCGTTTTCAAGCAACTTTCCTTTCTCTTTAATTTCTCTTCCTACTACTTCCTACTTCCTTATACATTTTCTGTTATGTTTTCCTTTCAAGGTAGTTCTCTATTTCTTACCTCATTTTGAATATTTTTTTTAAGATATTGAAGTATCTTTAACATAAGCGTACACAACTTTAAAGCTATCCTTTATTTTTTTCCTGCAACACAAAGAGCTGCTTTGTGTGTCAAATCACACTGACTTTCCTGTTCTTTGATGAATTTCCTGAGTGTAGTTCTGGTTATGCTTTCTGCTGCTATGGTTTTAATTGCTGCATTGCTTCTAAAAGCGTGTAACAAAAGGGACAAAACAAACAGGATATGTCATGAAGTGAACAGAACCGAGTACATAGATTTGCTTCTTACAGGCATTCTGTAGACAGATGTTAGCGACTTGGGGACAGGTACTGGAATTCAGATTTTCTATAGTGTCATATTGAGTTTGGTTCTTTTGGGTACTTGGCACCCACCTGTACCTCTTAACAAGAACCTCCACTTTTCTTGTACTAATTTTATTTTTTCATCACTTTTTTTTTTGGTAACTGAGAGCTCTGATTTTCTACCACCTCTCACCTTCCTTTGCCCTTTCTCTTTCCAGCTCATAGCTAGACTTTACATTTTCTTCACCCCTTCTCACTACTTCCCGTTCCTGCCATTACTATGTCCCTATTATAACAATATATATATTTACTTTATGATATTATTATGTACTTCTATAAATTTAAATACGTGTATTTTGTATTTGCTGTATATGTAGTTTGTGTAAACATATACTATGTGACTACGTTTACTATATAAATTTACTATATCGAAATAGTTATAACTGTTATTTTAAACTTTTTGTCAGCTTTCCTGATTCTAAATTAGTATTATCAGAGAGCCTGATACAAATCCTGATTCTCTTGCCTTCTCTGATGTGCAGTGATTTCAGTGTCTGTCGATGAAGTAATCTCCCTTAATAGATTTCCATATGCTTTTTACAGAAGAATAGAAGTTTAATTCACTGTAACTGTTTCATTGCTTAATTACTTATGTTATAATCAAATCATGCTTATTCTGATAATCGTGTAAGTTCATCAATGCATTCAAAGTAACTGGATATACTTAAAGGTGTATATGCCTAAAAATTATGTTCCCCACTTAGTGCAACTAAGTGTATGCAGAAGTTAGTATTAAACTTATTTTTAAAGAAGTTTTAAATTTTGTGTTAGAAATCAGCTGTAACTTCCTGATGTACCTATAAGCTCCTTCAGGACTTGCAAAATAGTGTATTTCATCCTATCAGACTCATAATCCAGTAAATAATGAAGACAAGTCCTTATTGCTTGACATGACTGCTGTTCAATTCTTTTCATTTCAGACATTTTGAAAGGAATCTCTGGCTTGTTTGTGGACAGAATATTGATTGTGCTGTTGCTTCCTGGAATTTAATGTTCAAAGATGGTTTCTTACATAATCTGACTACTTACTATTGCATGTTTGAGTAGCTTCAAGTGAAAATTGATAGGATACAAAGCCATCAGATTTACTTTATGTAAAAAACCACTTTGGCAAGTTTCGTAATAGCTGCACATGATGCTTTATGGTACATTTCTTCCTCTTGCATTCTGCATAGAAATGGAAATATGACTTTAGTTTGAGCCTCATCCTCTCTTTATCCTCTCTCTTGCATTCTGTTTAGTGATTGATCTGATCAGCAAACAAGAATTTCTTCAAGGACATCCATCACTGCTGGCATCAGCTGAGCTAAACCTTCTAACTTGCTGCTGTCGACCAGTCATGCGAAATTCCTGTCATAAATACTGAATGTGCTAACAACTGTTTAAATTAGCTGGTTTGACTTTTTTTTGAAAGAAATTTAAGTACAATTTTAAATACCTTGTTACGTGGCATGATTAGATGAGTATTACCACATTAATAATCTATTGATCTGTCTAAAGAATGTGCAAAACAAATTGTAATCAAATCACAACTAAGGCAGAGAGCATGTCATTTATGCAGCCTTTTTGATGCAAATAATAGCAAAGCTATTAGTAATGCTGAATATAGCTGTCTGTTGTAAATGTAGCAGCCAGTTGTTAAATCTTCAGTGCTACGGATTTCGCTACCTTTCTGAAAAAACAAAAGTAACTCAATGTTTGAAAAAATATTTGTATGTAAAAGAAAACAGCATCTGGCTTGTGTTGGCATTCTTGGTTTAATTCCCAATATATGGACACGGGCAGGTGCTAGCACTTCTGCTTGGCATTTTGACAAGCACACAAACATTCATTCCTCTTAAAATACTGTAATCCCAGTCACTGTCATACTTTATTTCTGATACATCAATTTTCTATGTTAAGTATCACATTAAATTAGTACAACATGTTGTAGTAAGTTTTACATCAAATGAGTAGAGCTGTTGATGTGAGAAAATAGACCTGTACCATAGCCTCCAAAAGAAAAAAATAGAGTGGTCTAGGTATGAACAAGGATCAGAACTTCTGTTTCTGGTCATGTCCTAAAATATGTGGACTTTTATGAGTTCCTGTAGGTTGCTCGGCCTTTTTTCCCCTAGTTCTCTCATACAAATTAGGGGATAATATTTACCAATTTATTTTGAAAATATATTATATAGAGTTAACTAACTCGTATGATACTTTCAAATATATGAAGTGATAAAAATAGGGATTATGGTCAATTTTCAAATTTGGTGGTTGATCAAGTAGGCTTCATTGATATGCAGGCTAATGTGTGCTGATAGTACAGATTTAATATTTCATGTATTATCCTATCACTGCATAGAGGCCAGTTTAGGGAGAGAGCATTTTTGATGAAAAAGAGAAACTTCCCAGTTTTGTATTGGCACATTGAGACAGTACAGAAGATAGTAACCACAAAATGTGTTCAAACAAATATGTAAAGTGATCCAACAAGGTTAGTGGCAGAACCGGGTATGTTACTTACTGATCCACTGCTGCAGCTTCATGGTGCTTCAAACTACTTGTTTAAATCTTTGAATTTAGACAGCTGTAAATCACATATGGCCTACTTTGTAAAGGTGGGGAGGTTTGACGTCTCACGTAAGATCCCCTCACCTCTGTGGCATGGAACCCGCACAGCAAAAATACACACCATCAGTGATAGCTGCTTCTCAGTCACAGAGTCCTGCTTCTGTAGCCCAGAACTTGGTGCCCAATATCAGTGTGCCATGGGACTCTGCCACTCCCTGTGCTGAGGATCACAGCGTGGTTGCTCATTCACTTTAAGGGTAACTATATCTATTCTTCATAATGTTTCAAGCTTTTTTGAAGTCTCAGCTGACAAAGTACTTAAGAACAGCTTTGCTCAGTTAATATCCCACTGTTCATAGATTAGCTTTGCTTGCAGCTAGCCTTCGACAGCTCCAGAAGGCATCAACATTTGTTATATTCTGAGGGGAGCACACAACATTTTAGAAATGTTTATATTAATAAGGAATTATCTTTCTGGTAAAGAGACTAATC